TTCGATCCCTGGTCAGGTGGTTGCAGGTTCGATTCCCAGTGTGGGGCGTGCAGGAGACAGCTGATGGATGTTTCTCTCTCACATCGATGCTTCTATTTCTCTCTCCCTTCCTCTCTCTTAAAACAAACAAACAAACAAACAAACAAAAAACCAATATAATATATTTAAAAAAAACCCCAAAACTGAAGTTTCCCTGAACTGAGATATGAAATTTGGGACAAGAAGGGGGGTGGGGCTGTAATAGTTTAGAAGAGAAAATGGGGAGACGGAAAGAAAACAGGTTTTGGTGCCCACCTCTAGACAACTGCTATTTAGAGATAAAGAAATTCTACAGTAGTCCAGAAGCCAAGAGGAAAAAGGGTGTAAAATGTGCCAGAATTGTGAGAGAGAAAAAGTTGAATTAAAAAATATTTTGTCTCTTCAGAAGAGCAAGAGGAGTATTGCTTACATAAAGTGCTACTACTGTATTTTTATAGGGTTTTCCCCTAAAGAACTCAGATGTCATACAAATAATTATTCATTCACATAAGCAACTTTGACCAAAAAACTTTCAAAATTCCTAACACTGAAAGGTAGGCACAGTGCAGATAACTTATTTTTTTTAGTATCAAACCTTTTAAGATTTTTAAATTGAATTTTTTTGGGTGACATTAATAAAACCATACAGGTTTCAAGTGTAGAGCTCAATATAACATCTTTTGCACACTGCATTGTGCGCTCGCCACCCAAAGTCAAGTCTCTTTCCATCCCCGTTGAACTTACCTTTATTTCACTCCCCCTCACTTCTCACTCATTGTTACTTCTCACAGAGCTATTGTGTGCATGATCCATAGTGAGTTTGCATTGTTCTTATACGGACGAGACTCAATTCAAGGCAATATAAGCTCTGTAATCATCTGATAATACTTAGTCTTCAACTAGTCATGCAAACAAGAAATAACGTCAACAGCAGTGAGCAGACAGGCCCTGCACTCAGAGGAATGCCCAGGCCAGAGCTCAGACAGTGCCTGAGTGAGAACAGCCGTGGACAATACCCAGCATGCCAGTCTGCTCGTGCCAGGCTGAGAAGATGGGGGGGGGGGGGTGGATGGACAGAACAGACCCAATGGAAATGCTTGGCCACTTCTTCCAGAACAGTTGCTTCTGTCTTTCTGATACCCCTAGTGTTTCTCATGGTGCTAGTATATATATATTTTTTTTAACTGAGAAAATCTCAAAGATTGGTGCCAACAAATTGCTTCCTAAAGTTTAGAAGAATATGTTCTCTATCTTCCCACTTTTTTGGTAGACGGAGGTGAAGCTCGCTGACCACAGAGCCAGAGCCCTCCAGAGATAAGGTCTCAAGTTTCCATTTTGTTGTCTCAGGGTTAGAGAAGATTCTGATAATAATAGCAATCATGCCCAATCTTAAGGCAGCAGACATTTATTGAGCACCTATTATGTGGTATAGAAGAAAAAAGCATTTACAATTCAACAAGTACTAACAGTGCACCTCCTATGTGCTTGGTACTGAGCTAGGCACTGGTGGAACAATAAGAACAGCTAGACTTATAAAGTGCTTGTGTGCTGCTAGAAACTGTACTAAGCATTAGAGGTACTTTTATTCTCATTTTACACAATAGGTGACCGAGGCACAGAAAGGTTGAATAACTTGCCCACATCACAAAACTAGATGTGAAAGAACTCCAAAAGTCACACAACAAGAAAGAAGTGGAGCAAGGCAGTGAACCTCGGAGCCCCACCCTCAAGCTTTAGGGTTAAACAGATTCTGAGTTGAATCCCACCTCTCCACCTACAGCTGTATGACTTTGGGAAAATTACTCAACCTTTTAGAGTCCTAGTTTCCTCATCTGTAAATGGAGAAAATGACATGTGCTTTCAGAACTTTATAAGGATTATAAATAATGCCTGCAAAGTGAATAGCACAGTGCCTGGCAGACAATATCATTAGGGGTTCATTCATCCAAGTGCATAATCAATCACTCAGTGTGCACTGGTATGGCCATCCCAGTTGTTAAAATACTGAAACGCAGCCATGCCAGCTGGCAGAACCTCTGCCCTAGGTCCCTTGAGTGACTCCCTTTCTGGCTATCCAGCCCCTCCAACAGGACCCCCCTCCCATAACCCTTGTACTCTAAGGGCCTCCAGGACTCTGTTCTGGTGGTTAGTGCCTGTGTCACCCAGTTGTTAAATACTTTCACTATCTCCTGGCTACAAATAGAGATGGGCTCCTGCCTTCGTTGTGCTCTCAATGAGCACACTGGGGAGGGGCCCTGGGTGTGACACGGGAAAGTGATGAGGGCAATGATGAAGAATGCTTCAGACGGTGCAGGATGGCGAAATGCCCAGCTCAGGTTGGCCGAGAAGGCTTCACGAAGGCTGGCTCTATTCGTGACCTGGATGGTGGCTTCCTAGATCATCACTAACGTTCCTTTTGACTCTTGTTTTTTCATTTGTGCTATCTCCACCTAGTTCAGGTCTCGGGACCCTTTGCCTAAACTTCTACAAGAGCTTTATAATTAAGTGGTCCTCCTTATAATGAAGTATACCGACCATTATAGAATCCATTCTGTTGTTCTCTTACTCAACAACCTTTAGTAGCTCCCAGTGGCCCCATGTCTTCATTGAGCCCTCCATGACCCACTATTATGTAGGCCCAGCCGGTTTCCAGCCTTTTCCACCTACTCTAGGTGCCTGGCACACCTGCCAACTGGGATGTTCCCCACGTAGGACCTTGTTGCTCCAGCTGCTTGGAACTTGTGGATCCTACTTCAGAGTTTTCAACACAGCTTCTTTCTCCCATCTGTGTTCCCTCCACGCCCATGTCTCTTCTCCCACCCCAAGCTTGTGCTGGGGGTGATGTGTTTTGATAACTAAAGTACATTGGTTGCTTATTATGTGCCAGGCTGTACTAAGAGATTTGCATGTTACCTTGTTTTACAAACAAGCTTTTGTTGTCACAAAAGCTCTTTAAGAGGTAGGCAGTATTATTATCTCTTACACAGCAAGTAATAAGTGGAGCTGGGAGCCCGGCCAGTGTGGCTCAGTTGGTTGAGTGTCGTCCATGCACCAAGAGGTCACTGGTTTGATTTCTGGGTCAGGACACATGCTAGGGTTACAGGCTAGATGTCCAGTAGGGGGCGTGCAAGAGGCACCTGATTGATGTTTCTCTCTCTCCCTCTCCCTTCCTCTCTCTCTAAAAAATCAATAACATGTAAAAAAAGAAAAAAAAGTGGAGCCGGATTCCAACTCAGGAAGCTTGTCTTCAGAACCTGTGCTCTTAACCAGTGTTTTATAGTGACTAACAACTCTCAAAGAAAGAGGAAATAAGAAAATACTTCCCATGTTATTTATTGCTCAAAATATACAGGTTGCTTTTGTAATTATTTGTGTTATAATATTATGTCCTTCTTTATATGAGCTGAAAATATAAAGGAACTATAGGTCTCATGGACTGATGTCTCAGTTACCATCAATCAGTTGTGGGCATAGGTGATGCCTCTGATTGTGAATTGACCATAATCAAGCCCCCTTTTCACTACTATTTCGCCTAACTAAATATAGCAAGTTCTTGAACAATGTCATTTTGTTCAAAATTGTTTCCTTATAACGTTGATGAGATGCCATAGGAACTTTACTCTTGTTTATGTCTATTAGCCTATGGTAAAAATTGGTTTTGTTATACATTGTTTCACTTAAAGTCACAAAAACATATTTACTATACACCACTTGGCCAAACCCTGGTCAGGCCATCCAGTGGTTCCACATAGCCTCCAAGAAGGCTGAGCTTAGTTCTATGATTCAGATTGTGGCTGAGTTGTCATTTATATTCTGAATAGAGCAGATGTGTATGTGATTTCTCCCTTTAAGTGCCCCGAGGTTATTTACCCAGAGACATCCGGCAGATCTGTGGTGGAGTTTAAGTGGGACTAACTGGAACTGACTCTCCAGGAACTCAGTCCAGGACCCTGGGCAACCCGATGGTGATTCTGCCCTAATGCCATGTCCTAAGTGTCAGTAGATGTAAGCTGTTGACTGACCAGAAAATTCTGGAACACTGTTCCCTTATGTTTTTACCTTGACACAAAATAAGATTATGACATCATGATGAGAACACAGGACTTCTCTATTTGTATTTTTAGAACTTGCTAGATTTTTCCAAGGGTGGCTGGTCAGTCCTCCTGTTGAAGAAAAATCATTGTGGAGAACCTGTACCACCTTCCGTGGAAACCTACCTGACAACTGTGTTGGTTCTAAAATCTAGGGAACAAAGTGACAGATGCTGGCTTTAGTGGAGAACCAACAACTTTGTGCCTAGATACAGTTTCTTGATAAACAACCCAAACTTATAGAATCCCCTTTTTCTTTTTTCGGGTTTAGAATCAACAGATGCTAAGGGTGTGTGTGACCCTAGGGGGGGTAAGGGACTCATACAAAATTAGTATCTGCTAAATATCTTGTAGTAATAGCATTTGTTACCCAGCGGTATTCCTTGTCACGTTTAGCTGTCATCTCCGTTTCTGCCAGGGGTGACCAGGAGCTTTCAGGTGTGCGCAGCCTTAAAAATGAAGGTGGAGGTGGGGGTGGGGGGATGATCAGGGAAGGATCGGACTTTATTGCAGAGCAAAGTCCACCTCCATTCTCGGGTGAAAGTTTAAATGGTTTGTTTTGCTTTGGTGCTGGCAAGCCAGCGCACAAGCCAGAACCTTTACTACAAACAGTGTGGTGGCTACGCCTCCTCCCTGCCACCCACCCTCTGACAAACCCACCGCCCACCCCATCCGTCCCTGCTGCGTATCTTGTCCCCTTTAAGAGCCTGCTCCGCGGGACTAACGTTCGAAAGGCTCTGGCGCCCCTCCTCGGGCTCCGATTGGCCGCGCGCAGCTCATGGGGGCGTGCCGGCCCGCCCCGGAATGGTTGGCGGTCCCTCACGATTGGCGGGCGAGGACCATATATAACACGCAGGGTGGTGGCGCTGCCCTCAGTTAGCGACCGGACGAGGAACTGGGTGTTTGTCCGTCGTGGGGGCGCGGTGGCCAGTGAGCGCGTCATCGGAATCGGTGCCTCTGGGTAGTCGTCAGGTACCGAGGGCCCACCCCTAGGGCACACTTGTTGAGGCGCCCGATTCCTCTCCCCGCGGCCGAACGTTCCCGGGCTCAGCCCTCACCTCCGCGCCCGCGCGGGCCAAGGGGCGGCAGGCAGGATGGAGTTCAAGCTGGAGGCGCACCGCATCGTCAGCATCTCGCTGGGCAAGATCTACAACTCGCGGGTCCAGCGCGGCGGCATCAAGCTGCACAAGAACCTGCTGGTCTCCCTGGTGCTGCGAAGCGCCCGCCAGGTCTACCTGAGCGACCCGTGCCCCGGTCTCTACCTCGCGGGCCCCTCCGGGACCCCGCTGCAGCTGCCCGGGGAGCCGGCGGCCGGGCCCTCCGCGGGCTGGGGAGAGCCGCCCCCGCCGGCCGCCCCCGCCGCCTGGCCGGACCCCGAGCCGCAGCCAGAACAGCCCGCGGTCCCAGACGCGCTGCGGGCGGGCGACGCTGAGTCCGCGGCTTCCGCGACCGCTTCCAGGGACACACTTCAGGCCGGAGAGGCGGCGGCCGGGGGCACGGGGGGCCAAGCCGGAGGCTCGGACGTCTTCCCCCAGGGGCCCCGAGAGGCTCGTCGCTACTGTGGCTGCCCTCCCGGGGGGGAGGACAAGCCGGGGGCGCCGGGCGCGTCTCCCCACGGTGACTGCTGCTGCGCCGAGGACGAGCCCCCCGCGCCGCCCCCCGTCTGCCCCCGGAAGCGCAGCGCGGCGGGGGTGGGCGGCTGTGGCCCCGCGGGCTGCCCGGCGCCCGGCTCGACCCCTCGGAAGAAGCCCCGCCGGGACTTGGAGGAGCAGCCCGGCAGGGCGGGGGAGGAGGAGGAGGAGATGGAGACCGGGAACGTGGCAAACCTCATTAGCATCTTCGGCTCCAGCTTCTCGGGACTCTTACGGAAAAGCCCGGGGGGCGGCCGGGAGGAAGCCGAGGGAGAAGAGAGAGGTCCGGAAGCCGCCGAGCCCGGGCAGATCTGCTGCGATAAGCGGGTGCTGAGAGACATGAACCCCTGGAGCACAGCCATCGAGGCCTTCTGAACCCCCGTTCCCAGGCGGGCTGGAGGGTGAGCAGCGGGCGTCCGACGTGAGGGCTGGGCTTCTGGCCGCGAGGACGCCCCAGACCGCAGGCGCTGAGCGCGTCGGGAAGACTGGGTGCTGCGGGGCCCACGGACTGCCCTTGGCCTTGGCGGCCCTGCTGGGTTGGCCTCTCACTTGGGACCTCTCTTGAGACTGGGGAGCGTGAGGCTTATCGGAAGAGGACGACCGTTAATTTGTGTGTCTGTATATGTTTGTGTATGTAAGTCTGTCTTGTGAATTAAGACTGTTTTTGTCCTTCTGGAATGCAGCGCCCCTTCCCCAGGGTTGAGGAGATCGGGGGCAGACAGGGACTTTCCTCTATCAGCAGCGCCGAGAAGGAAGCGGCTGCCAGGGCCGGGGAGTTCCCCATTCGTCCTCGAGGCAGGAAGGGACTTTACACACGTCCCTCGCACGAAAGCTAGAGCCATACCAAGGCCAGGCGTGGCGTTTCCTCGCAGGATTTCATAAGACCAGAGTGCTTTAGCCGGGAGCAGAGACTTGTATTATCTCCCTCCCTCCCCATCGTTCTCACTGAAGAAACGTTTAAGCCCCGTGATGACTCTGGGAGAGGGGGATCCTGGCTGCCCTTGTCTTCCCCGCAGGGAAAGAAGCTTGATGAACTTCACAGAAGAGTTCAGGCTTGGAAATAATGGAGTTTATAGAGAAAAGGTATATTTTTAAAAGCTCTAGCTCAAAACCTACTACACAGTGCTTTTAAAAAGTGTTTAATGAAACAAAGTTTACAGACAGAACCCCTAAGTGGAAAGACCTTATGGTTTTGTAGATACGGTGACTCCAGTCTTTGTTGTATAAAGGTTGGGGGAGCTGACGAGGTTTTTGTACAGTATTTTCTCCTTCGTTGTATTGATTTTTGTATAAAAATGTAACTTTACGTGTCTAACACGTATTAAATATTTTGAAGCAATATCTCTGCCTCCTTGTCTGTGATCACCTGTCTGGGTTGGGACAGAGGTGGGGGAGGGGAACTGTGGTCCAGGCTCGAAAATTGAAGGTGTGGTTCTTAATATCAGTCAAGAACAGACTGGGGATATTGTTTGCTGACTTCACTAAGTATCAAGAGAGACACGTTTAAGGTTTCTCCCCCAGATCAGAGGACTGCTATTAGATATTAATATCAGTGGCCTGCCAGTTTCTTTAAACTTGTCACTACAACTGCCTTTTTAAGAAGTCAGTTTAGGCCAACTTGACTTTTTACAGCTCAATCTGATGGTTTCCTAATATTATTATTTTTTTTTTTTTAATCCTCACCTGAGGGTATTTTTCCATTTTTTGTACAGATAGAATGGGAGGGAGAGAGAGGAAGGGAGAGAGAGAGAGAAACATCGATGTGAAGGGACACATCGAGTGGCTGCCACCCGCACGACCAACCAGGGCCGGGGACAAACTGCAACTGAAGTACATGCCCTTAGCGGGAACCGAACCCGGGTCTCTCCGGACCGCAGGCCGACACTCTAACCGCTGAGCCAAACTGGCCAGGGCTGGTTTCCTAATATTAAATAACTTAAGTGCCAACTTTTGAAGCCTTTCCTGTCCACAAAAATGTTTTTCACTAAAACTTTCATTTTGTCTCCTGTTAAAACTATAGAACATGTTAAACCATATAACGTCTTTCATCTTTGTTACTGAAAAAAACCTGACATATGAGGGAAACTGATGAGACTGAATTGCCCAGCTGGTCAGGTCACCTGTGCATTCCAGTGGCTGTCAGGACAGACTTTTCAATGTATTTTTTTCTTTTGCTGTTATAGCTGTAGAAAGTAAAAGCAGTTTTCTCAAAGGAAATTGCTTGTGTCAAACCAGAAATGAGAGGAGGCCCAGGAGGGCTAGACAAATTTAACTTATTTAGCAAAACTTCCTGATTTGCTCTTGTCATCCAAATGGTGACATCATTGTTTGGGTGGTGGTAAACACTTAGGTGAGCACAGCCAAGTGATCCGTTCATTTTACTACAGTTACTGCACTGGAGAGAGCTTTTTGTCTAAGGCAAAATAGTTATTCAATAATCTATTTTCAGAAGTAAATCAATTAGAGAACGGTGTCTTAAAATATGGTTGCTAGTACTTTGAAATATGGTATTGGCCTATAAAGCTTATGAATAAAGAGTGTTTAAGAGATGGGAGAAATTAAGGAAAGATTAGACAAAGTAAGGAAAGATGAGACAAAGTTTTAAGTAAAGTTAGGGCCTTTGAGCAAAAGGAACACATGAACAGTGGCTTTGGCCTTCCTAAACTCCTGATGATGTGAACTTCGGTCACAGCTGAGTGGGCCGGTGCCTTGATGTTTTTGCGAATCTATAGGTGATTCATTAAGCATAAGGAACTTGTACTTTACATTCTCTCACCATAATAAAATATTCACAGAATTAAACATTCTCTAACCAGGGCCTTGTTAAAATTGACTTGTTTTCCTTTCATAGATAGCTACTTAAGTTCTGTTATAGCCACAAGAGATCCATTGAGTGCTGACTGCTTAAACAGAAGAAGGTGTCTAGGGCCTTAATTTTGCAAACATTTCCTGTTGCTAGAAAGTAATTATGATGCTTGAACAGCCATTTCAGTGCATTCTTACATTTGAAAGGGGGTAACATTTGTTGTGTTTAAGAGAACTGATTTGTTTTAGATGAGACAAAAGTTCCTGTTGATCCTTGTTTTCACATTAAGATGGACCATAAGACCACATGTCTGCTTAATTTTAGAGGCTATTAATGGACACATTTGATAGGGAGGTACAGCTTTGTAGGAATTCAGAAAAGGTCATTATCTTTTTTGTTGCAGAAGCAGTATGTGTAATGGTTAGAGCAGGGGTTTTTGAGCCAGACTTCCTGGCTTTGTATCTCAGCTCTGCCACTTTGCTGAGGGCCTTTGGACAAGTCACTTCGTCTCTCTGTGCCTCAGTTTTTTCAGATGTGAAATTGAAATAATCATCTACCTCATAGGGTTGTGCAAATGAATGAGTGAATGCCCCTAAAGTTCTTAGAAAAGTACCTTATACATAGTAAGCAGTCAGTTGTTATTGTTAAGGTAGAAGTGAATTCTGTGTATACATCAGATATATTATGGTCAAAGAACTGTGTAATTTACAAGAAAGGAGGGGAAGGGAGAATCTATTTGTAAATTATTCTACCTGTGAATGTTGGGTTCTTTTGTTCTTCTGTTTTTCTCTGGATACTTGGTATCCCAAAGCTTAGTTCCATCAGCATCGTTTTGCTGTTTTGCTGGTCGGTATGTCTCACACCAACCCTGCAACTTTCCTGATTGTATCAAACAACTGTTTTCACAGAGTAGTAAACAGGAGTGAAAACACTCAAGGAGCAAAGATCTTGTTGACATGCTTTCTGTGGATGAGTAAAGGAAAAAAAAATAGCCCGCAGAGTTATTTTTAGCCTGAATTGCTTGGGCATAGACTGTTTCTTAAGCCGTGTTAATTGATGGGTCCCGGAAAAGAGCCCGTCCAGTGCCAGGATGGGGTTATCACACAACTAATCAGATTCAGTGTGACTAGGGTTAGCACCTAACTACTCTCGACCACACTGGGTGGGTGGGTGGGTTTTCTTGATCAGATTAACCTTAGCTCTGGTCTAGAAAAAACCTTTTTTTTTTTACTGCCATGTAAAAACCAGATATTCAAAGTGCTTTTGACAAGTGCTCCGAGAAGATCACTTTAATAATGAGTAAAGGTGTTAAGTTTCAGTCCAGTACTTCTCAAGCATGTCTCTTTAAAACTGTCTTCCCACTCAGATTGAACCTGGGGAAAGGAACTAATGATACACAACTTGAACTGCCCCTTTGAAGTGACTGCGTTTGCTCTAAGGTACCTAATGCAGTGATAATAACCTCTCCATTCCTACCATTCATCACTGGATTTGGGGGTGAGAAGTGAAAGAGAATGGGCCATTTAACAACTTCGGTAGAATGCTTCTCAGAATAAAGATATAGTAAATATTGGGAACAGAATTAATAATGACAAAACTCCATTTTGTCGCTGGATTAGTCTGGGTCTCTTACTGCAGCTTGCTAGGCATGACAACGCAGCTTAGAGCCTGTGAGATGGGGTCGAAAGGCTAATACCCACTGTGACATGGGGTTTGATGGACATTTATTTCCTTATACTTTTTTAAGTAGAGTTAATTCAGTTCACTGGATAACCAAAGAACTTCTGATCTCTTGCCCTAAATATTTTATTCTGGTCCTGTTTGTGAAATTTTTATTCTCCTAGCCTTGCTTTTATCCCAGCAGTTACTGAAAGAAAACGAGAATGAAAAGAAACACTGATCCAACCCTCCCGTGACTATGAAAGAAGCCATTACTATTAGGTGCAGAACTCCAGTGGAGAGTGAGGTCTGCTTCCCAGGATTCCTGGCACTCTTTCCAGTAATGAACAGTTTGTCTCTCGGCCTTTGAACCATTGTTCAGATTTAAAATTCTACCCAGTGGAAACCTTGGGAGGAAAAATATAGTAGAAGCAGAGTTATGTTAGGAATCATTGTGATCTTAACTCAGGCCCTCGGAGTTTTTCAGACAATTCGTGCGGGCACAATGGAGAAGGGAACATGTGAGAGCAGAAGGTGTAACAGGATACACACATCTAGTAGAATGCTTCCTTCCTGATCCAAACACAGTCTTTCCCAGTGCCTGCCACCTCCCCCCTCCCCCAGTGGGAAGGAGGGTTTTAAAAATAAAATCCCTCTCTAGCAATTGCTCTATCCCAGAGGAATATAGCCCAAAGCATCTCTGCTGGACTATATCCTGGGGTTTATCTCAGACATTTGGAATCTTACAAGCTGGGCGGGAGAAGCCTCCAGGGACTGCATTCCTGAAAGGGCCTCTCTCTCCCCTGCTCTTCTGACCAGCTGCAGCCTCCACCACTGGACCCTGCCCACTTATGGGCAGAAAGAGGCTGCCTACTTATGGGAAGGTGAGAAAGAGGATTGGCCATCAGGTTTTGAAAGCTGTGGGGGAAAAGGCTGGTCCCTAGCGCTATATCCGAGCATCTCTAGACACTATTCTTTTAGGAGCCTGGCATAAAGTCGGCCTGTAATATTTGTTGGTAAATCTACTTATTTTATATGATCGAGTTTTCTGGAACATGGTCACAAACCCCTATGTCTGTGTGATAAGCCACATCCCTAACTTAAAGGACGAAGGTGAGACTCAGCTTCCCCTTTTCTACCCATTTAGCACCAGGTGGGCCTTGGTCCCAGCTCTCTGCTTTCCCCTGTGAACTAGGCCTCTGCTAGGCCAATCATTCCAATAGGCAGACTCCTTTCAGTGTTCCCAGAACTTGGTGATGTGCCAAAAGCCATGTGTTCCCACCTGTTCATCCTTTGACCCATTCCACCTCCCAAACCTCGGAGCAGGGCAGCTGCTGGAGACTTGTTTTCTCTGTGGTGAAAGAAAACCCTTCTGTTTCCTCTGCTCAAAGCACTGCCGTTGTCTCTGATGCAGGATTTCTTAGGCTGCTCCCACACTTGACCCCCGTCCTGAACCCAGGTACCACCCATTCGAGTTTTTCTCCAACTTCATCCACATCTGCTTGGCTGTTTCTGGCCAGCTGCAGCACCCCTGCCCTCAGTGGACGGACACTTCCTTCGGTGCATGGCCTTGCTTCTCTGTCTGTCTGGGTCTTTCTACGCCTCCCCTCCCCCACCCCTCCTGAAGACACTCACAGTCATTGTTGGCCCGGGAGAGTCTGCACAGGGAACGCTGCCACCCACTAAGAAGGACAGAGTTGGATTTCTTGACCCTGAGACTGGCAGAGTTTCCAGAGATTCCACGCCTGCCTCGGAGATGAAGATCAAGCCACAGCTGTGGTAGCTGGGCATCTAACCCCAGAGCCTCACCGACCCCCAATTCCATCACAGAGGCTGGGGGGGGTATCCATCCTAGAAACAGGAGCAGCGCTGAAAACCGGCTTGGCTGGCGGCCAGATGGAGGGAAGGAGAGGCAAAGCCAGGGCCGCCCAGACGGGGGCCACACGGCGCTTCCCATCCCCCTTCCCTTCCCTGGAGCCGCCTCTGCCGCTTTCTAGAACAGATAATGAATCACAGAGCCGCTCTGATGAAGCAAACCCAAAGGCACCTCTCTGCCTGGTCTCCCTGATCTGGGCTTTGATCGACTAATAGAAACTTTTACTGTGAGTTACCAGAATTGGGGAGTCCTTCTAACCCACCGGACTCCCAGAGGTAACCAGCAGAGGTGAGCTAGAGTCTCAGTGCGAAGGGAGACTGTGGGGTGGAGGACAGTCACCAGGAGGAATTGCCACTGAGTCAAGTTCTGCTCAGGGTCTTCGGCGGGTGGTGGACCCAGGGAGGAGCAGCCCCTCTTTTCTTTCTCCCTGGCTTGTCTCAAGCTGCACCCAACCTCCCGTTTTCTTCCCACAACTTCCCAGTTTTATTTTTGGTTTGGAAAAGGGCGAGCGTGCCTTGGCATCTGCATTTATCAGTTATCTCTCTCTCTCTCTGGTTGTGTGACCTACTTTAGAGACTGGAGTTGCTTTTCTTTTTATGGCCGTGGGAGAAATCCCAAGTTCAAGTAGCTGAACTTGAAGTACATGGGACGACGCTACGCTCAGGTGGTTATTACTCTGATTTCTGTGGTTTTCACCCCCATTACAAGTCAATCCGGGCCTGCCCTGTGGAGAGCAGTTGTAAAGATACTGCGTGTCCTGTAGTCACCCCAGCATCAGACATCTGGCCCACCAGGGAGCCAGAAGCTCCTTGAAGCGCCTGAACTCTCCTCTGAGACGGGAACAGAGAGGGAGAGTCTACTACTTACCAGTCAGGAAAGAGTAAACGAGGCCCAGACAGTGAGTAGGTCGACTTGAATGATCAAGTGAGGTCCCAAGCAGAGGCAGGGATAGAATTCACCTGGACTGGTTCCCGGGACCCCTCTGAGCAGGGACTCATGGACCAGAATCTGAAAATGTGACTCACGACTTGGAGAGTCATTCCCTGTTTCTTTGGTTTCTATTTATAGTAAAAAAAAAAAAGTATCCACTTGCCTCACATTTGTGATTTGAAGATAAATCAGTGTTTGTAAAGCAAAGCTAGAAGATATAAACAATTCAGCCCTGGGTCCCATCTATTAAGTATTTACAGGAACACCCAGAAGGAACTCATCAAGGGGGAATACAAAGATGCAAACAACAGGATCTGGCCCTCAAGTCAGACCAGGGTCCAGAGGAGATGCCAAAACAACATAGAACCTCCACTTCCCCAAATCTGACAGCAGCCCCTTGCTTTCTCAGTAGGGTCCAGGGACCAGCAGCAAGGGTGTCATCTGCAGTTCCTCAGAAAAGCAGACTCTCAGGCCCCAGCCCTGATCAGCTGACTGCATTTTGACAAGATCCCCAGGTGATTTGCATGCACTCGAAAGTTTAAAAAGTGGCTATTTCCACTGACCTCAGGGTCAAGTGTGAACTCAGCTTGAGGTCACTCAGAGGCTTAGCTCCCTCTCGCTACTCCTTCCCTCACATCCTCCAGCCATAAGATGCTATCTGCAGGCCTCTGGGCCTTTCCAGCGCTGCCCTTTGGGGGGACACAGCCACCTTAGAGATGCTCCTTCGAGCTGAGAGCATACTCTCTCCAGGCAACAGAGAGGGCGGACTGCTCGGACCTGGTAAGGGGGAAGCCTGAGGGTCGGGGTAAGAGGGAAGAGGGCGCTACCAGCAGAAACTCAGCTTGCAGAGAGGTGGGGGTAGAGCCCCAGGAGATGGGCAGCAGAAAAGTCAGGGAAAATGAGAACAAAGACCGCGTCACTGACCTAAAGCTTGGTGAGTCTGGGGAGAGGTTCTGGTAGGAGACAGGAGAGAAAACCCCATTATGAAGGGAGGGGATGAAGCGATGTGGAGGCTCTGGCTATATCCCCTTCCCCAAGAAATTTGGCATAAAAGGCAAAAGAGAACCAGGATCCTGGCTCAAGAGGATGTTGGCTCAGTTCAAAGGGCCTGCGAATGTCTCAAGGCGTAAGTAGTAGCTGCAGAAACAGTTATTGAGGTGAACGGGGCCTGAATACATAAACTGCTAAGGATGGGTCTCTTATCAGAAGGCATCGACACCTTCTTCTCCTGACAAATAAAAGGAGACTGGAGACACTAATAAATCACCCCAGGGACCTTGTTAGTATCAGCAGCCCACATTCTCTTCCTTACTCCCCGCCCTGACTGCTCCAGCTCACCAGTTAGCAGGGTAATAAACTGAGAGGTTCTGAGGATGAAGGACCTTCCCCAAACCCAGTGCCACCAGCTGCTAATCTAAACCTTTCTGGGGCTTCATCCTCTTTATATACTAGGAGTTTAAAACACATTGGAATGCAGGTTTGTGCTATGAGGAAAGCAAAATTTGGGGTTCTCAGCAGAAAACACACACACACACACACACACACCCCCCACACACACATTCCTGGTCTGTTCTCATTTGGAAAGCCAGTTATGAATGAGTGTGGTTTGCTGGGTAAAAAGCAAGTCTGACCTCATCTGTCATTGTCAGTGTTACAGAGGATTAGTCTGAGGCTGAGAACAGGTTGAGACATGTCCTACAGAGGCTCCGGATGCTGAGAGAAGGAAACCGAGCAGTTTCAGTCTCTGAAGGCAACTGCTGAGAGCTGACGGAGATGAGAGGAGGAGTAGAAGAGGGAGGATGGATGGATGGATGGGAAAAGCAAGAGAGACAGATGTCTGGTGATTTCAAGAGAAACATGAGACTACAATAAACTCAGAGTCAGAAAACAGGAAGAATGTGAGCAAAGGAAAAGGTAGCAAATGGACTGAGAACTGCAGTGTATTTGATAGCACAGCCCGGTCCAGATGGGGACGTGGCATCAGCCCTCAGCAAGGTCCTCTGCAAATGGGGGGAGATGCAAAGAGCGAATAGCTCTCCTTGGTGGTGGGAGCATTTTGTGCTGAAGCTGTAAGAGATT